TTTAGCTCTGGTTATTCTGGTGACCCTCCTGATCTCAGCCTCCCAAATAGCTATGATTACAAACCTGAGTCACCAGCACCCAGCCTTTTTGCTTTAGTTATTTTCAGGTAGGGTCTCACATTTTTTGCCCAGGGCTGGCCTCAGACTACAATCCTCCTACCTTATGTCTCCCACATAGCTCAAATGACATGTACACGCCACGATGCCCACTGAAATGGGGGTCTTCTTAACTTTTTCATCTAGCCAGCCTTGAACCACGAGCCTCTTGATTCTGCTTCCTGAGTAGCTAGGATTATAAAAATGAGCTATTCCACAAGCCTCATGTGTATTTATTATTTTAATGGTAGAATACATAAAACTTACTTCACAATTAAAAAATAGGAATAAAGCAAATTCCTAAAGTGTATATAGAATATTTACACTATGATTTTGTTTAGAAAAAGTTGCAAATGTAATTCTGGTGATGTTAGTCTGTGGTACAATGCTTCTCTAGCATGAGCAAGACCCTGGGTTTGATATCTAAAACTGTGGAGGGAAAAAAGTTGCAAATAAAAAAAAAATTATTTAGAGATATGCACATACTTGTTAAAAGAATTAAAAAAGCAAATGATTCACATAAAACAGCAAAGTGGTTACCTCTGAGGAAGAGGGAAGGAGAAAGATTCAATCAGGCAGAGCCTCCCAAAAAGCTTTAACAGTACTAGAGCCAGGCTGGGGATGTAACTCAGCACTGAGTGTTTGCCTAATCTGTGCAAGGCCCTAAATACAATCCCCAGCACCACTTAAAAAAAAAAAAAAAGTACCACAGCTGGGTGTAGTAGCAAACACCTATAATCCTAACACTCAGGAGGTTAAGAGGGGAGGTTTCAGGCCAGCCTAGGTTACACAGCAATATCGTCTCTCAAAACAACCCAACAACAAAAAGTACTAAAAAATCTCCTTTCTGTTAAGTCAGGTAGTGAGCCCACAAGTCTTCAACTAGTTATTATTCTTTAAATTATTGATTCATGCTATATACACTTTATATATATGAATTATTGCATAACTTAAACACAAGATATACAGGATTGAGGAATCAGAATACTGGGCTGTAATCCAGACTCTTCCATTTACTGGCTGTGTAACCTTAAATCATTTAACCTTTAACAGAATAGTTTTTCTTTTTATTTTGCAGATGAGGAAACTAATGGCTAACATCTGTTTAGTACTTTCCTTGGCAGTTCTTTTCTTTTTTTTTTTTTTGGTAATACTGGGATTTGAACTCAGGACTTCGTATTTCTTGGTAGGTGTTCTACCACTTGAACAAAGTCTCCAGCCCTTCTTGGCATTTAAAGGTCTGTTTAAAATTCCTAGATTATAAACACAGAAACTGCAGATAAACTGTGGTATCATAATAACACAAAATAGTATCTTCTTAATAAATAGAATACCATAATACCAAGAACTCATTTGTAGGATTCACAAAGCTATTCACCACTAGAGTCTCTGCCTATCTCTCTAATAATAATGGCAACTAATCCTGTTTTAATGTACACTATGTAAAACACTGTGTTAAATACTTTCTGGGATTATTTTATTTAATCCACAAAACAACCCCGTGAAATTAGCTCTATTATCCCCACTTTACAGATGACCTCATTGTGCCCAAGGTCACACAGCTACTTGTGATAAGCTTCAAAATCCACATTTTTAACCACAACATTCATTTTGCCTCACTTGCTACATTTGAATTGTCTATCTCTCCCATGACACTGAAAGCTCCTTGACAACTGCTTTTTGTTCTTTTTCATTTCCCGTGCCACTTAGCAGGCATTAAATAAATAAACAAATAGTGAACAGGCTTTTCATATATGTACAATATTTTCAGGACATGAACTAATTTGTTCCCTTTGACACCCTTGTGAAGTATAAATTTTTTTTGTTTTGTTTTACTGTTTTAGTCACATTTAAGTGTACAATTCAGGGAACTGATCACTTTCACAATGTTGTGCAAATATCATCAGTAAGTATGAAATGTTTTAATGACCTTACTGAAATCACTCAGCTTTCAAGTGATAGAACTGCAGATTTGAAGCCAGTAATTTTGACTCCTAAATTCATGGGCTCTTCATTCTACCCAGGCTTCTGTCCACCAATACCTCCACCTGTTCTTCACTTTTTACCAGTGTCAAAGGAGGTGAAAATACTAAAACACTTTATACACATTACTACTGCACGGGTGACCATGGCTGGGGGTGGGTTGAATCCACCAACACAGTTCTCCCAAGTGATTGCTTTTCATTGGAGCTTTCAAGAGCTAGGGCTTTACTATAAACATTCCATCTCTAGACTATGCCTGCAGATCCACAAAAGCAATCTCTGGACCCCAGAGTAAAGTTATGAGAAGAAATGCTTGCATTAGTTAGATTAGACTCATATCAAATTACAGGTAACTGCTCAAACCTGATTTTTATTGTAATACAGAAAGCTTCCTCATAATAAAACACTTTGAATACCAAGGATAAGTCCAACCTTCCATCATTCTGACATTTTGGAACTAAAAAAGAAAAAAAAAAGATTCTAAATGGGTATTTTTATATGCTCAACTGTAAAAGGCAAGGAAAATGGTTTGTTTTCTGGCTGAACTCTGAAGACTTAACAAAAACAAGAATTATTTTGATCCATTGATGCCGATTTTATCCTCTTTACATCTATCCTCATTTTTCCTCACTATGAGCTCTAATCAACAGCCACTTCATGTTTAACATATCATAGTTAATACAATTAAGTCCAGAAAACTGTCTCACTAAAGATGGTCCTTCCATTCACACTCCTCTCTACCTTCTTTCATCAGCACTCTTCCAGGAAAATGAGCTTATCGTTAAGCTTTAAATCAAATTCCTGGTGAATAGATGGAGATATTGTTTCTGTAGTTAATGCAATGTGCCTACATCAACATTGTCCCCTAAAAAGTAAAATAAAAATGACACTATATGCTTCATTTATGCACATCTGATGGAATTCTGATCACTTGAATTCCTTTAGAAGAAAATTCAATCTATAGAAATAGTCCAATTATTTAAAATCTTATCAAGCAATGTCAAAAGAAAATCGAATGGAAAACTCTATCAGTACCAAACCTCACCAATGAATATTTATGACATTTCCATATTTCCTGTCTTCTCTCTGTTTACATAAAGCGGTGGTGCCAAGACTCATCTCAGGATTATTAGCCTGCAATACAATGATGGGCCTAATTGCCTTGCAAACCAGGACACCAATAAATGGAGTCTTCAAGCAATCAATTTTAAGAGGGGGTGGGGGAAGGCTTAAGTTCTTTCTGCATACATGCACATTGCCTGCCTAGAAAATAAATGCAGCCTCTTATTTTTCAGTCTCATTCATCAGTTCTCAAGCAAGGAATGCACCCTTAACAACCTCAAGCTCATCAAATCTATTTAAATTCCAAATTCCAGGACTAGTTTTAATTGCACCAGGGGGAGGGTGCACCTTCAGCTTGAGAATGGATTTTCCCACCAACTTTCTCTTTATGATACATGAATTGTAAGACAGCACCCTCCCCTCCTTAATTCTTCTTTAACTGAAGCAAGCCTCTCTCAATTTTACCCTTTGGGCTGACTTCACTTCCAAATTACACTAATATAAATAAAACAAACAAAAAGAACAAACTAACAGCTCAAGATATCCTCTAGAAGGTCTTTAATGTACATTCTCTGTCCGATTAAAGTCCCCTCTAATGACCTTCTTATTACTGCCCCTCCCCCAAACACCAAAGCTGTGCGTTTAAATGTTCCAACCCCTAAACCTTTTGGTGTCTCTTGGAGAACATCCCAATCCTTCCTCTCCAGAATAATCCAACACTGGTCACTGCCCCATTCATACGCACAAGTCCAGGCCTCCCACACCTTAAATTTCCCCTCTGCCACCGCACCACGGGTAACGACCTCTCCAGCTCATCACAGACATTACTCCAAGACTCCCTCTGCCAAGGTGGTAGAGGGGCATTTTCTTCAAGATACATCCCCCAACCTTGCTCACCACCTGCCACTATTCTTTCAGTACATCCAGCCTAACAGTCTTATGTGCCCTCTGCCTCCAACCTACACGCAGGGAGCCCACCGCGCCCCCTCCAGTGACTCTATCACCCTAAATACTATCCCACCATGCCCCACCCCAAATTTCAATCCTTGTCCTGCCATTTGTGGTCCAGCTTCCAATTTACCCCCCCCCCCCCCGCCCCAGCCAGCTCACCATCACCTCTCGCTGAAAGTCTCATCCCTACCAGCTCCTATTTCAACCTCCATCAGCCCACCCCTGGAAAACCCCAAATCCTACCTCCTCTGCTCTATCCAAACCTTTGCTATTTCCATACGTCTCCACGAATTCTACCATCCACAGATGACAACCGCCCACTTCAAGCTCAGGTCCCACGCCAAACCCCTCAACCCAAGCTCCTACCATCTCTATCAGCCTGCCCCAGGTCCACCCCAAATTCCACCTTCCTGAATTAACACTCCCCACGGCCCTGTCTAACCTTTTACATCCCACCCTGCATTGGAATCATTTCCCTATCTCTCACCCCGACTCAGAGCCCAAGCTGTCAACTGCTCCAGGCCAACCCCAAATCATCACCTTCATTCAGTCCCTTCCCCCATTAAAATCCGCCCCACTCCAGGCTCATCTTCAACCTCGCCCCAACACCATCCCAAACTCCACCTCGTACCCACTCCCCACCCCACGCTCCTATCCCAGGTCTGGTTATTCCCCCATTAAAAGTCCCCCTCCTTCGACCTGCTTGGGTCCCACCCTCACCCCACCCCCAGCCCGCGCTTGGACAAGTCTCCCCCGCCAGCCCGCCGTTCCATCGCGACCTCAGCCCCCTCCCCCCAACCCGCGCGGGGGCTCCGCAGCCCCCACTCTCATTCTCCCCGGCACCACCAGACCGGGCTTCAGCCGCGCGGGCCGGGGGACGGGGGAGGGTGGGGGGTGGGTCTCCTCACCCGCGAGCTGCTGCAGGCTTGGAAACGGCGACGGCGGCTGAGGCGGCGGTGCCCTTGTCTTCTCCGGAGGCTACAGCGGCGACGCTCTCGCTCCCTCGCCCGTGTCCAGTAGGGTGGCGGATGGCGCGCAGGGACAGGAGCCTCCTCCTCCTCCTCAGCGACTCGGCTCTGAATCCTCTGCAGTAGCCGCGGAGGAGCCCGACGGGTGGGGGGAGGGGACGTTCGGCTGCGGGCGAGAGAGGAGGAGGCGGAGGGAGGGGGCGGGGGACCGCTGAGAAGGGCGGGGGAGGAGGAGCCGGCGCGGCGTCGCGACACGTCCCACGGCCTCAAAACGCCAGGACCACAATTCCCGGCATGCCTTGCTCTGGCCTGCGCCTCAGGCCCGCGCCGATGCCGAAGGCCTTCGCCCTCTCGGGTCACCGACTATAGAAGGAAGCCGACCGTCTGCGGGTGCTTCTGTAGAGTCAAAAATCACATGTGTGAGCAGCCAGGTCTTTCCGCAGCCCCATGCCCAAGTGGCGAAGTTCTCATCGTCTCCAACCTACACAAACACCCCCTCATCCCTCCCTCCCCCGCCTACATCTCCCAGCATGCCTCACAGCTCTTCACCCTCCTTCTTCCGGCCCTTTCTCTGAGCCGGTACTACAGTTCCCAGGGAGTGTGGTCCCTGCGAAATGCTGCGAGATGCTGTTCTTCGTCATTCCTCCATGTTAAGAAAAGAAGTGGAAGAAAGGAAAAAGGGGAGCAGTAGTCCAACCCCGGATCGTAGGCCTAAATGGGCTGGATCACCTATGATTCTGTACTGTCCTCGCCATCTCCGTTGCCACTGTCTCATGCCACAACTAAAGCAGCATCTATCTCACTTCCTGCAAATTTGAGGACAGTTTGGCAACTTGAATCCAAATGCAAAAAAGGCATTTGTTTACATTTACAGCCCCATTACTTTTAAGAATTTGCCTTGAAGACATAATAGACCGATTTAGAAAAGATGAATACCCTTGTTATATGAGGTGAGGAGTAAGGTTAAATATCCATCAATAAATAAGGAGCTGATTAAATCAGTGGTAGTACATAGTACATATATGCAATGTAGTGCTAAACACCCATTTAAAATGGTAATTATCTATTGGCGTGATAAGCTATTCACAATTTATTCTCAAAGGAAAAATGATTACAGAACAGCATGTTTAGACAGGTCCGATTTATGTGAAGTTTGAGACAATACTCTATAAGCATAGATTTCAGGAAAGAGGTTCCCAAAAATATTATTACTGATCATCTAGGAGAAAAGAATGTCACACTTTAAGTTATTTTATTTTCATTTTGTCTGAATTGTTTAATGGAGCACATACTTTTAAGCTGTAAGACTATTTGCAAGAAATACACTTCCAAATCCAACAACTTCTCTTTCTTGCCTACAAATATTCTCTAGTTCCCACTGCCTCAACGGTGTTTCAAGGCTCTCTGTGTCTGTCTGATTTTTCTGTGCACTCAACAGTCCCACTACTAAAACAATGATGGTCACATGCAATTCATAAAATTTTTTCCTTTCCACACCCATTTCCTTCTTTTCTCCTACTCATTCTTCAAACTCATGTTTTAGGCACTCTGATTTTCCTTATACCTTAATTCTCATAGCAATGGTTTCTAACCTGTGAGCCAGGGATCACTGAGGGGAAGGGAAGTGAGAATAGAAGATCGAATTATTGTAAAAGGTCTACAAAGCTCTACCTCCCCAAAACATTGACTATAGAATGAATACATAAATCTTGCACTTAAAAAAAAAAAGTTTTTCTTCTTCTGACACCCAGGGATAGTTCTTCTAGAATATGGAATATGGTAGCAGATGATCTCTGATTTAACATGAGTCATGTATACAATTACAATATTTTCTGGCTAAATTACAGAAAGTCATCTACAGATTCAATACAATCCCCATCAAAATTTCAATAACATTCTTCATAGAACTAGAAAAAACAATCCTAAAGTTCATAAGGAAGCACTAACGAACCTGAATAGCCAAAGCAATCCTGAAGAAAAAGCAATGATACAAGTATAACAAACTGACTATAACAAAAACAGCATGGAAGACTAAACTTTCAGGGATCATTTCTATAGTTTGTTACAAAAATAGCATGGTGCTGGCACAAAAATGGGCATATAGAAAAATAAGCCCACTCAGCTACAGCCATATGATTCTTGACAAAGGTGCCAAAAGCATACATTGGGGAAAGGACAATCTCTTCTCAGCAAATGATGCTGGGAAAACTGGATAGCCACATGTAGAAGACTGAAATTACATCCCTATCTCTTACCTTGTGCAAAAATCAATTCAAAATGGATTAAAAACCTTAATGTAAGACCTTAAAATTTGAAACTACTAAAGGAAAGCATAGGGAAAACACTTCAAGATATAAAACTAGGCAATGACTTTCTGAGTAGGACTCTGATAGCACAGGCAATAAGTCAGCATTGATAAATGAGGTCGCATCAAACTAAAAAGCTTCTGCACAGCAAAAGGGTGTGATTACCAGAGTAAAGAAACAGCCTGCAGAATGGGAGAAAAATCTTTGCCAACTATTCATCTGACAGGGGATTAATATCCAGAATATATAAAGAACTCAAAAACACCAAAACTCCGAATAGTCCAATCAATAGATGGGCAAATTAAATTGACAGACGGTTCTTAAAGGAAGTACAAATGGCAAAAAAAAAAAAGCAAGAAAAAATGTTCAATATCTTTAGCCATCAGGGAAATGCAAACCAATATTAATTGTGAGATTCCATGTCACCCCAGTCAGAATGGTTATCAAGAAAACAATAAGTGCTGGTGAGAATGTGGGGAAAAAGGAACCCTTATACACTATTGGTAGGAAAGTAAATTAGTCCAGCCACTATGAAAATCAGTATGGAGATTTCTCAAAAACCTAGAAGTAGAACTACCATATGATCCAGCTGTACCATTCCTGGTCTATACCAAAAGGAATCAAAGTCATAATATAATAGAAGTGTCTGCACACCCATGTTTATTGCAGCACTGTTCACAACAGCAAAGTTATAGAATCAGCCAAGATGCCAGTCAGCAAGAACGGGTAAAGAAAATTGTGTGACGAATAGCCAAGGCAATACTCAGTCAAAAGAACAATGCTGGAGGTATCACAATACCTGACTTCAAACTATATTACAAAGCAATAACAATAAAAACAGCATGGTACTGGCACAAAAACAGACATGAAGACCAGTGGAACAGAATAGAGGACCCAGATATGAAGCCACACAACTATAACCAACTTATCTTTGACAAAGGCACTAAAAATATACGATGGAGAAATAGCAGCCTCTTCAACAAAAACTGCTGGGAAAACTGGTTAGCAGTCTGCAAAAAACTGAAACTAGATCCATGTATATCACCCTATACCAAGATTAACTCAAAATGGATCAAGGATCTTAATATCAGACCCCAAACTCTTAAGTTGATACAAGAAAGAGAGGAAATACTCTGGAGTTAGTAGGTATAGGTAAGAACTTTCTCAATGAACCCAGCAGCACAGCAACTAAGAGATAGCATAGATAAATGGGACCTCATAAAACTAAAAAGCTTCTGTTCATCAAAAGAAATGGTCTCTAAACTGAAGAGAACACCCACAGAGTGGGAGAAAATATTTGCCAACTACACATCAGACAAAGGACTGATAACCAGAATATACAGGGAACTTAAAAAACTAAATTCTCCCAAAACTAATGAACCAATAAAGAAATGGGCAAGTGAACTAAACAGAACTTTCTCAAAAGAAGAAATTCAAATGGCCAGAAAACACATGAAAAAATGCTCACCATCTCTAGCAATAAAGGAAATGCAAATTAAAACCACGCTAAGATTCCACCTCACCCCTGTTAGAATAGCCATCATCAGCAACACCACCACAACAGGTGTTGGGAGGATGCGGGGAAAAAGGAACCCTCTTACACTGTTGGTGGGAATGTAGACTAGTACAACCACTCTGGAAAAAAATTTGGAGGCTACTTAAAAAGCTGGACATCGATCTACCATTTGATCCAGCAATACCACTCTTGGGGATATACCCAAAAGACTGTTACTCCAGAGGCACCTGCACATCCATGTTTATTGCGGCACTATTCACAATAGCCAAGTTATGGAAACAGCCAAGATGCCCCATCGCTGACGAATGGATTAAGAAAATGTGGTATCTATACACAATGGAATTTTATGCAGCCATGAAGAAGAACGAAATGTTATCATTCGCTGGTAAATGGATGGAATTGGAGAACATCATTCTGAGTGAGGTTAGCCTGGCCCAAAAGACCAAAAATCGTATGTTCTCCCTCATATGTGGACATTAGATCAAGGGCAAACACAACAAGGGGATTGGACTATGAGCACATGATAAAAGCGAGAGCACACAAGGGAGGGGTGAGGATAGGTAAGACACCTAAAAAACTAGCTAGCATTTGTTGCCCTTAACGCAGAGAAACTAAAGCAGATACCTTAAAGCAACTGAGGCCAATAGGAAAAGGGGAACAGGTACTAGAGAAAAGGTTAGATCAAGAAGAATTAACCTAGAAGGTAACACCCACGCACAGGAAATCAATGTGAGTCAATGCCCTGTATAGCTATCCTTATCTCAACCAGTAAAAACCCTTGTTCCTTCCTATTATTGCTTATACTCTCTCTACAACAAAATTAGAAATAAGGGCAAAATAGTTTCTGCTGGGTATTGGCGGGGGGAGTGGGTGGTAAGGGAGGGGGTGGGGGCAGGGGAGAGAAATGAACCAAGCCTTGTATGCACATATGAATAATAAAAGAAAAATGAAAAAAAAAAAAAGAAAATTGTGAGTGTGTGTTTGCATATTATTCAACCATAAAGAAGAATTACATTAATGTCATTTTCAGAATCATGTTAAGCAAAATAAGCCAGACTCAGAAAGATACATATATGTTTTCTCTCATAAACAAAATCCAGATTTTTTTAGGACTGGGGGCATGGCTCAAGTGACAGAACCCCTGCCTAGCAAGTATGAGACCCTGAGTTCAAATCCCATGCTTGTAGGAAATATATAGATAGATAGATATTTTTTTTTGGTAGTACTAGGTTTGAGCTCAGAGCTTTATACTTGCTAGCCAGGTGCTGTATCACTTGAGCCATACCTCCAGACTTGAATCTAGATTCCTTAAA